ATGCAGAATGTTTTATGTATGTACTTTCATATGTCTTTGTCCAAAGAAAATTCAGTCTGCCATTCCACAAACAAAACAATGGTAGCATATATCAAAGCCTACAAACCAATAGTTTGTCCCATTCCAAATTTCCAAATTTTAAATAATCTTAATGTAATGCAGCAGTATGAGCACTGGAGGTGGACCAGACGGTGGCATGGATTCAGTAGACCATGGCAAAAGTCGTCCAGGTCCTTGTAGATGGCATCAAGTGCCGTCACGGCAATAGTCTATTAGTAGGTGACTAGCAGAATAGCAGTCATCTATCTGCACATATATTTCAGGTTCAAACTCAACAATCATCTCATAGAGGCAAAGCATCGAACACTTGTTGTGCGTATGTGCTTTGAATAGACAGAGGTGGGTAGCAGGAGACGTACCTCGCAGTGTGGCACGCCCCTCGTTGCCTGCATGTATCAACTAGCAGCCGGAGACATGCGCGGGGAGGGGAGGGGACAGGACGCCAGGAGCATCGACAAGGCGAGGAGCGACCGCCGCCAGTTCGTCGCGGACGTCGTGGAATAATTTTCCTTCAGGTCCAGCGGTTGGATCAAGTGGATGCGAGCGGTGCGAGATGAGTGTTGATCGGTTGCAGCAGTGAACGCAGGTGAGAACTCGATGCCATCTCCTCCACTCCTCCAGCGCAAGGGCCGCGGCCCACGTCTTGGCGCCGCTCTCCTCCAGTACCGCGGCCATGCCCAGGCGGCGGAGTCGCGCCGCTCGACTTCGCACCGTGGCCGTGGCCGAGCGCGGGGACGTGGCCCTCGTCTTCGCGCCGCTCTTTAACGCTCGCGGCGAACGGCGGGGCGGCCTCAGACTGGGGAGCGGGTGGCGAACGGCGGCGGGGGTGGCGCCCGGTAGCGCGGCCTGGACAGGGGCGAGGACGGGTATGGGGGCGGCGGCGGCGGAGGAGCCGCGGCATCGGGACTTGGGTCTGGAAGGGAGCACGGGAGGACGAGCCGACGTGCGAGAAGGTTCGGATGTTTCGGGTCCGCAGCGAAACTGAATGGAGGCCCGAATCGACCAGTAATCGGACGGATCACATTGCTTCGTCGCTAGATCCAACGGCGTACGTGTTAGCGGGCGACGTGGCCACCGCCCGAATCTTGGCCCTGATTTCGTATAGTAGAGAAGATAGGAAAGCTAGTCCCGGGCCACAGACCAAATAAACATAACCGCATCCGTATATGTGGCCCAGGTCCAGCCCAAAGTCCAGCAAGCACGGTTACCTGGGCCAAGCAGAGAGCCCTGCTGGACGTTGCAATCGCTATCTTCTTCCACGGCAGCATGAGCACGCGACGGGCGGACGACGTCGCGCGGTTGCATGGCGCGCACCTGAGACGGCAGGGGCGCTTTGACGTGTCGCCATGCATCCTCAGCCCTGCCCCTCGATTCGCGGCGCACCAGGGGAGGGACGGCCTCACACAGAGAGTGGCTCTCTGGACACTGCTGTGTGGCTCGCCGGACGTTAAAAGGGAGAGGCAGCCATGGCGCGGCGTGCATGCCAAACGTCCAAATCAAACCAATCCAGAGGCGGGCAGGTAGCACGGACAGACAGACAGCAGGCCCTAATTTTGGCTGCCCCCAGGCCGGCCGTTAGCCCGTTACTAGCTCGCGATCGACAGGGAGTCAGGGACGACAGGCTGGTGGTGGTGTGCTAAGCTAGCTTCGCGCTGCCGTGCGTGGCCGGCTGCCCGCCGATCGATATAAGCGGCTGCGGCGCCTCCCTTTCTCCTCGGTTCTTCCCCTTGGTGGTAAGGACCCATCGTCCGCCCGCCTCGCGTGTCCCTTGCGCTCGCTCGATCGCCAACTCCGAGCCAGGGACACCGGGTGAGGTTGCCCGGCCACACCGTCGTCTTGGATCAATTGTGTTTGTGCTGTGTACCATCCGTCCCTTCCCGTCCCCATAGCCTCTGCTGCCTGCCTTCTTCTTCCTCATCATCCCTGCCACTGCTACGTCCTGCGCCTGCCGCGCGTGCAGAAAGAAATCAAACGTAGCCATGGAAGAAGCTCCACGTCATTCCAAGTAGTTACTTTCTTCAGAGCGCGCGCGCGGTGCCGGCCGGCAGAAAGGTTTGTTCGTTGCATTGACAAAGGAGAAGGCGCCTGTTGGGGTTCCACCAATTCCATCCCATCGCGACACGGACGGATCGTCGCGACCGCCCTCCTTGTGTTGTACAAGATCGAGACGGAGGGACGACAGGATCCAGCCACGATGTCGGCGGCCGGGGCCACGGTCGTCTGCGCGGCGAGGGGACGGCGGCGAGCTGGGCCTCCTCCCGCTGCGCCCGCCGCCCTCCTCCTCCTCCTCCGCCGGCGCCGCCGCCATCATGATCTACCTCACGGCGCCGGGGCTCGCCGTGATGCCGATGCGGGTGATGGCGTCCGACTCCATCGCGTCGGTGAAGCTCCGCGTGCAGACGTCCCGGGGCGTGACGGCGCGCAAGCAGAAGCTGGTCTTCGACGGCCGCGAGCTGGCGCGCGACGACGGCCGCATCCGGGACTACGGCGTGGCCGACGGCAACGTGGTGCACCTCGTCATCCGCATCCCGGACCTGCGCCTCATCACCGTCGAGACCGTGCAGGGCGGCAAGTTCAGGTTCCGCATCGAGCCCGGGCGAACCGTCGGCTACGTCAAGCAGCAGATCGCCAGGACCGGCGGCTCCACCCGGCGACGCGCCCCGACCCCGACGAGCAGCGGCTCGTGCTCGAGGGCGAGGACCTCGACGACCGCCACCTCATCCACGACGTCTGCAGGGCCGACGGCGCCGTCATCCACCTGCTGGTGCAGCGCTCATCGGCCAAGATCAGCGCGGCCGAGGCCGACGGCGGCTTCGAGGTCTCCATTGTCGCGCGGGACGCCGGCCAGCAGTTGCCACGGCGTGACGTCGGGATCGAGCCCGTCGTCGTCGGCAACCCAAAGGAGGCGGCAGCGCAGCTTCCGTCGGCGGTCCGTGACATGATCGACGCGGCGGTCGCCGGGATGGAGAACGGGAACGCGCCCATCATGTCGTCGGAGGGCACGGGGAGCCTACTTCATGCAGGACGCGGCGGGGCACCGGCACGTGGCAGTGTTCAAGCCGGCGGACGAGGAGCCCATGGCCGCCAACAACCCGCGCGGCCTCCCCGTGTCGTCCACCGGCGAAGGGCTCAAGAAAGGGACGCGCGTTGGGGAGGGCGCGCTCAGGGAGGTCGCGGCCTACATCCTCGACCACCCACCCGGCGGCCGCCGCCGGTCGACCGCCGCCGCTGGCGCGCCTGGTTCGCCGGCGTCCCGCCGACCGCGCTCGTCAGGTGCACGCACAAGGCCTTCAGGCAGCCAGAGGCGAGCCCGCTGGCGCCGCCGCCGGTGCCCAAGCTGGGATCCATGCAGGCCTTCGTCAGCAACTGCGGCAGCTGCGAGGACATGGGTCCCCGCGCGTTCCCGGTCCAGGAGGTTCACAAGATCTGCGTGCTGGACATTCGCCTCGCCAACGCCGATCGCCATGCCGGCAACATACTTGTCTGCAAGCACGACGACGGCGGCATGTCGCTGGTCCCCATCGACCATGGATACTGCCTCCCTGAGAGCGTCAGTTCTTCCGATCCATCCATTTCTGCTTTCATTTGCATTGGTTCTTCTTCATCTTGGATTAATTCGTGCATGCAGTTCGAGGACTGCACGTTCGAGTGGTTGTACTGGCCTCAGTGCCGGCAGCCATTCGGCGAGGAGACGGTGGAGTACGTGCGGTCCCTGGACGCGGAGGAGGACATCGCCATGCTCAGGCTCCACGGGTGGGAGGTGTCGCGCGAGTGCGCGCGCACCCTGCGCGTCGCCACCATGCTGCTGAAGAAGGGCGTGGAGAGGGGCCTCGCCGCCTTCGACATCGGGAGCATCCTGTGCAGAGAGACGCTGACCAAGGAGTCCGCCATCGAAGAGATCGTCCGTGAGGCGGAGGCCCAACGCCAACGGGGAGGAGGATGCGACGACGACGAGACTGCCTTCATCTCGGAGGTCATGGACAGCCGTCTCGACGAGATACCACCGGCCGGAGCCAAAGTGATTTGAGACAATTGTTAAGGCTGGAATATATATACATACGGTTATATATCATGCATATACCCTTTCCCAAAAATGTAGAGAAGATATAAATAAATAAATTTATATATTGAGAATAAGAGAAAGGGGTGAAATTAAGGAGCATATATACAAAGTGCAATGTGATTAAGAACAAAACTAGTTGCATCCTTTTCAGGATCAAATTCGGTTGCTACCTGCTTCGTTGGGCCGGTCTGTAATGTAATGGATCACGAACGTGGTGAACTAGTACGAGCTTATGGTGTCTTTCTAGTGGATGGAGGACCCGTTTTGGATTTAAGTGGATGGATATTGTTTGGACCCGGATATCCATTGCCAGGAGATCCAAATGAATCGGATTGGTTTGGATTAAAAACCTTGGATATCCAAAATCCACAGGACCTCTTTCATAGCGTGTGGCGGGCCTGGCGGCGGCGGCGTCTCCACTCTCCAGCGCATCTACTCCTCCACTTACTCCTCCAGCACTGCTGCGAGGAGATCGAGGTGCCCTGCTTCGAGGAAATTGCACCTTCTTGCGCCCTGTTCCTCTCGCTGGGCGCACAGGTGCGCCGCCGGCGCCAACGCTGTCCAGGTCCGGCCCATACATTCCACCTCTCCTGACTCCTCCCACTACAGCAGGCATGTCACGCGGGGTGAGGCCTGGCCGCCGCACATGCGTGGAGCTGGAGCGGATCATCGTCGAGAGGCACCGCTCTGGGAGCCTCGGCCGAGAGGACGCGCTCGACCTGTTCGATGAATTGCTTCCTCAGGCCAGGCCCGCCTCGGTGCACGCCTTCAATCGTGTCCTCACCGTCGTCGCTCGCGCGGACTCCTCGTCGCTCGCGCGGACTCCTCGTCGCCACTGCGTCACAGCGCTGCGCTCGCCGTGTCTCTTTTCAATACCATGGCTCGGGCTGGCGTCAATAAGGTGGCCGCCAACATTTGCACCTTTGGCATCCTCATCCGTTGCTTCTCTACTGTCGGCCGCTTGGACCTCGCCTTTGCTGCCTTTGGCCAGGTCATCAAGATGGGATGGAGGGAGCAGGTCATGGCCCTCAACCAGCTAATCAAGGGTCTCTGTGATGGCAAGATGACGAGCGACGCAATAGATATAGTGTTCAGACGAATGCCGAAGCTTGGCTGCACACCTGATGTTTTCTCCTATAACATTCTCATCAAGGGGCTCTGCGCCGAGAAGAAGAGTCAAGAGGCTCTTGAGCTGCTGCGTCACATGACGGACGATGGCGGATACAACTGCCCTCCCGATGTGGTATCATATAACACGGTCATCGACGGCTTATTTAAAGAAGGTGAGGTCGACAAAGCTTACATCCTGTTTCATGAAATGCTGGGTCGGGGGTTTGCACCTGATCTTGTGACATACAACTCAATCATTGATCTTGTGTTATGCCGAATAGTAGGTCATATAATAGTCTGATCCATGGATATTGCTCTTTAGGAATGTTGGAAGAGGCAGTGAGGCTGCTCAAAAAGATGTCTGGAGGTGGTCTTCAACCGAATGTTGTCACTTACAATCTGCTGATAGACTATTATTGCAAGATTGGAAGATGCACAGAAGCTAGGAATATCTTTGATTCAATGGTCCGAAGGGGTCAAAACCCCAATGTTACCACCTACTGCAGTATGCTTCATGGGTACGCCACAAAAGGAGCTCTTGTTGATATGCATGATCTCCTTGATTTGATGATTCGAGACAGTATCCCACTTGAACATCGTGTCTTCAACATCCTGATACGTGCATACGCTAAACATGAAACGGTGGATAAGGCAATGGCTGCATTTATAGAAATGCAACAGAAAGGTTTGAGGCCAAATGTAGTCACCTACAACACGCTAATTGACATTCTTTGCAAGACAGGCAGAGTGGAGGATGCCGTGTGCCATTTCAATCAGATGGTAAGTGAAGGGTTGTCTCCTGATATCATAAGTTTTAACTCACTAATACAAGGTCTCTGTACCGTTGGTGAATGGAAGAAGGTTGAGGAACTTGCTTTTGAAATGATCAATAGGGGCATCCATCCCGATGCCAGATTCCTGAACGCAATAATGGATACCCTATGCAAGGAAGGAAGGGTTGTGGAAGCACAGGATTTCTTTGATCTAGTTATACGCACTGGTGTGAAACCAGATGTTGTTTCATATAATATACTGATAGATGGATATTGCTTAGATGGGAAGATGGATGAATCGATTAAGCTACTTGATCGTATGGTCTCCATTGGCTTGCGACCTGACATTGTGACCTATAGTGCTTTGCTTAATGGCTACTGTAAGAATGGAAGGGTTGATGATGCACTAGCACTTTACAGAGAAATGTTCAGCAAGGATGTTAAACCTAATGCTATTACATATAACATAATGTTGCACGGGTTGTTTCAGGCTCGAAGGATTGTTGCTGCAAGGGAATTCTACATGAAAATGGTTGACAGCGGAACACAGTTGGGAATCAACACATACAACATAGTTCTTGGAGGACTCTGTGAAAATAGTTGTGTTGATGAAGCGCTAAGAATTTTTGAGGGCTTGCGTTCAAAAGAATTTCAGCTTGAGGTTTGGACTTTCAATATAATGATTAATGCCTTGCTGAAAGTTGGTAGGATTGATGAAGCTAAGGGCCTGTTTTCGGCTATCGTGCTCAGTGGTCCTGTGCCTGATGTAATAACATACAACTTAATGATCGAAAGTCATATAAAAGAAGGTTTGTTAGAAGAGTCTGATGAGCTTTTTCTATCTATGGAGAAGAATGGCTGTGCTGCCAACTCACGTATGCTAAATACCATAGTTAGAAGACTACTTGAAAAAGGAGATGTGAGAAGGGCTGGAACCTACCTTACCAAAATTGATGAGAAGAACTTCTCCCTTGAAGCTTCGACCGCTGCATTGCTGATTTCTATTGTTTCAGAGAGGAAGTATCAGAAAGAACTGAAGTTTCTTCCTAAAAAATACCAATCTTTCATGGAACATAGGGATGATTGATACCTTTTCCCGGTTTTACGGTGCTAAATTGCTAACTGAGAGTACATGGTCTCTTGTCCTGTAAAGGTTATATTTGCAAGGTGCCACCTCTTGCAACCTTTTATAAATTACATTGAATCTAGATTCCAGAGAAGTGCTAACTGTCTTACAACTGAATTTTATTCAACATTGATATTCCAATGGGTTATCGTGTTTATCTAAGGTTCATAATTTTTAAAACTCTTTTATTCAAGATTAAAATTGCATATTCATCCTCAATGGGAATATCAAATTATTTTTTTATTCTCCCTGTTGTGGGCTTCTAACATGGAGGGATTTGCTACTGGAGCTTTGAGGGCTTTGTTGTTACTTCTCTATTGGACATGTTTGTTTTATGGTATTAAGCTTGCCACCAAGTCCACCATTGCTGCATGAATACTTAAAACATTCAGATCTGTTGATTCTAAAGGGAATGTAAGATTGACTGTTTAATACTAAATTGATGTATGACTTGAAAATTGAATTTATGAATTAGTCAACTGCAGGATAATATAACATAACCTTTCAATTGAAGAGTGGTAGAATTACATTTTTGCCTTTTCCGATGTTCTTGGGACTCACGAGTCCACTGGAGAATTTTTGAAGGCCTCCACTTATTCGTCAGCTAATAATTCAGCCATACTCAACCTGTACAAAGAGAGCGAACGGGCTGATGCTATTCACATTGCTCAAAGCTCTGCAGAAAGTGTCCAGAGTTCATCTGATCTGTTTTCTATTAATGAAATGGTGAGCATTCCTTGTATCTAAGTTTTCAACTGACAACTTTATTTCATATTCTTTTGATGTACACTAATGATCAGTGATCGGAACTCATCATTTGAAACAGATGACAACCATTCCAGTAGATCAACAAGTCATTGCATTTTGATTGAATTCTACCATAGGCTGAGAGAAGAGTCCTTGACAGCAATATCCCGGCACGTGAAGGATCTTAGGGTCAGTGATTACATTGCATTTATAAAGGGACATTATTTGTGTATTTTGTTGCTTCATAATTTTGTAACTAAGGATATGCATTCAGGAAGCACAGAAGGAATCTACATTCTCTGATGAAAACAACAAAGCAACTGCAATAGGAAGGGATATTCAGGTGTGTTCCTGATCATTTATGTCTATAAATGAGATTTTTCTTATGAATATATTGAAGGATTGCCTTGACCATAACTTTTCTTTGTGTAATCTTATGTTCGTGTGCATCAACTCGAGAACCGGTAATCATTGTTATTAATCCATTTTCCATCAACTTCCAGGAAATATACGACAAACTAAAAGATTCTTCGCTGCCCAAAGGCCTTTTCACAAAGGAACAGCCTTGGAAGGATGTATATATCACAGAACTCCTTAATTGTATCAAAGAGGAACATATGAAGGATTTTGAACAAGAATATTGTTTAGCAGAAAAGATAGAATGGGTATGTATCATACTGTCATCGTCTATGCTGTGTAAGTTTCTGATCATTATCAGTATGTTGTATAGGAACTCTCCTACTGTTGGCAATCCAAAAATCACATACTGAAGTTTTCCTTGGAAATTTCTGAGTCTTGAATGGACTTCTTCCTTAATTTATAGTTCCAACTAAAGATCAATACACTCTTTTTTTTTTTGTTGCTGAACCACTTTTTCCCCTCTGTTCAGTTTGGCATCATTATTTTATTTTAATATTATCATAATTAATCCCTTCTGGCAAACTGACTCTAAAAAGTTTTCTTGAATGATTTCCTATCATTTACAATCTAATCTGCATTCTGTGCAGCCAATCTTGCAATATACCTTCTGTTTCTTGCTCACATGATTGATGTGATTTTGAATAAGAAAATAAACAATGTATTGACCTGTCTGATACCTAATTTCAGGCAACGGAGGACACGGATATTGCAGTTGGTGATTATGTCAGTGCATGGTACAGTATGCTTTGGTCCTGTGCCCAAGAACTGAAGCATGGTGCGGCGCTTTGACAAGAATTTTATCATGCAAATGTCTGCAACAGAGTAATCTCTGAAGGTACAAATATTTTGCACGGCCAGAAAAGCTTTATCATTCATTTGGGATCATTTATCTTCACAGATAGAAGTCAACTATAAATTTCCATCTATGTTGGTTTTACAGGTCGTCACTACTTTATTGCTCTTGGGGAGATATATAGAGTTGCACAGATTTTACATTTATCCTTGCAGTGTTTCAAGCCCTGGGTTCTTGCATATCCTGGAATGGTGAGTAAAATGTTGTCTTGTTTGGACAGCTGCACTAATGTAGATTTTTTACTGTCACCACAATGCATCTATCCATGTTTGTAGATAAACAAATATTTGTCGGTTCAGAAGAGAGAAGATATAGTGCATGGACCTTGGAACCCTACTGAAGCATGGGGGCCCCGCCTCTGCGTGCAGTAGGCGCGGGTCCGGACGCGGGGAGTCCATCCGGATGTCCAGGCGCTAATGGTGCCGTTATGAATCAGTCAACTGGAGGGTAATCTAACATAACCTTCAATCGAAGAGTGGTAGAATTACATTTTTACCTTTTTCATTTATTTAAATTAAACTGTCCCTCTAAAAATTATTAGGCCCCACCTTGAAGAAACCGACATCTATTCGTATATCCACAACTTGAGGCATCACTCCACCAGTGATGAATAAAAGAACAAGAAAACGAAAAAATTGATGGCTCTTGTACCAAACGAAAAAATTCACGGGCCAGCGCGCATGACACATCCTCCCTCATCATCTCAAGGATCAACGACCAAACTTGTTTTGCTTCCTGTTTTTCAGGGATCTAACTCTGGACCGACATCACTTGTGTAGTGTGAGAAGCGACGTTGGCTCTTTTTCCAATACAAAATTGATGACCCAGGTATAAAAAACAAAATTTTAAAATCTAAATAAAGAAAGTAAAAGAATTTCTATGAATTTATTTTCCATTTATTTACTTTGTTTTTTCAAATGAAATTGTAATTGGTTCCAAAAAATATTAATTTGGATCCACTCTCGTTTGTTCTACCTCTGTCCATGCCAAATATTCACATTTTAAATTTTTACATATAGTCTTGCGTAGATGACAAACATTTGTCGCTCTTATTAATCCGTTACATTCTCTCTTTTTTTTCAACATTAAATACGGAGTACTAATCAGGACTCAGGAGGATATGCCAGTGCAGGACTGCAGGTGCAGCCACCGCTCTCGTTTCTCCCTACGACCATTCGCCCCTTTCTTGCGCCGCGCCCCTCTCTCACTGGGCGCGTAGCAGGTGCGCCGCCGGCCGATCCATGCACTCCACCTCTCCTGTCTCCTCCCACCACAGCAGGCATGTTACGCGGGGTGAGGCCTGGCCGCCGCACGTGCGTGGAGCTGGAGCGGATCATCGTCGAGAGGCACCGCTTTGGGAGCCTCGGCCGAGAGGACGCGCACGACCTGTTCGATGAATTGCTTCCTCAGGCCAGGCCCGCCTCGGTGCACGCCTTCAACCGTGTCCTCACCGTCGTCGCTCGCGCGGAGTCCTCGTCGCCACTGCGTCACAGCGCTGCACTCGCCGTGTCTCTTTTCAATACCATGGCCCGGGCTGGCGTCAATAAGGTGGCCGCCAACATTTGCACCTTTGGCATCCTCATCCGTTGCTTCTCTACTGTCGGTCGCTTGGACCTCGCCTTTGCTGCCTTTGGCCAGGTCATCAAGATGGGATGGAGGGAGCAGGTCATGGCCCTCAACCAGCTAATCAAGGGTCTCTGTGATGGCAAGACGACGAGCGACGCAATGGATATAGTGTTCAGACGAATGCCGAAGCTTGGCTGCACACCTGATGTTTTCTCCTATAACATTCTCATCAAGGGGCTCTGCGCCGAGAAGAAGAGTCAAGAGGCTCTTGAGCTGCTTCTTCACATGACGGCCGATGGCGGATACAACTGCCCTCCCAATGTGGTGTCATATAACACGGTCATCGACGGCTTATTTAAAGAAGGTGAGGTCGACAAAGCTTACATCCTGTTTCATGAAATGCCGGGTCGGGGGTTTGCACCTGATCTTGTGACATACAGCTCAATCATTGATGGCCTGTGCAAGGCTCAAGCAATGGACAAGGCTGAAACAGTCCTACAACAGATGTTTGATAAAGGTGTTATGCCAGATATTTGGTCATATAATAGTCTGATCCATGGGTATTGCTCTTTAGGACAGTTGGAAGAGGCAGTGAGACTGCTCAAAAACATGTCTGGAGGTGGTCTTCAACCGAATGTTGTCACTTACAATCTGCTGATAGACTATTATTGCAAGATTGGAAGATGTACAGAAGCTAGGAATATCTTTGATTCAATGATCCGGAGGGGTCAAAAACCCAATGTTACCACCTACTGCAATATGCTTCATGGGTACGCCACAAAAGGAGCTCTTGCTGATATGCATGATCTCCTTGATTTGATGATTCGAGACGGAATTCTCTTTGAACATCGTGTCTTCAACATCCTGATACGTGCATAAGCTAAACATGAAACGGTGGATAAGGCAATGGCTGCATTTATAGAAATGCGACAGAAAGGTTTGAGGCCAGATGTAGTCAACTACAACACGGTAATTGACATTCTTTGCAAGACAGGCAGAGTGGAGGATGCCGTGTGCCATTTCAATCAGATGGTAAGTGAAGGGTTGTCTCCTGATATCATAAGTTTTAACTCACTAATACAAGGTCTCTGTACCGTTGGTGAATGGAAGAAGGTTGAGGAACTTGCTTTTGAAATGATCAATAGGGGCATCCATCCCGATGCCAGATTCCTGAACGCAATAATGGATACCCTATGCAAGGAAGGAAGGGTTGTGGAAGCACAGGATTTCTTTGATCTAGTTATACGCACTGGTGTGAAACCAGATGTTGTTTCATATAATATACTGATAGATGGATATTGCTTAGATGGGAAGATGGATGAATCGATTAAGCTACTTGATCGTATGGTCTCCATTGGCTTGCGACCTGACATTGTGACCTATAGTGCTTTGCTTAATGGCTACTGTAAGAATGGAAGGGTTGATGATGCACTAGCACTTTACAGAGAAATGTTCAGCAAGGATGTTAAACCTGATGCTATTACATATAACATAATGTTGCACGGGCTATTTCAGGCTCGAAGGATTGTTGCTGCAAGGGAATTCTACATGAAAATGGTTGACAGCGGAACACAGTTGGGAATCAACACATACAACATAGTTCTTGGAGGACTCTGTGAAAATAGTTGTGTTGATGAAGCGCTGATAATTTTTGAGGGCTTGCGTTCAAAAGAATTTCAGCTTGAGGTTCGGACTTTCAATATAATGATTAATGCCTTGCTGAAAGTTGGTAGGATTGATGAAGCTAAGGGCCTGTTTTCGGCTATCGTGCTCAGTGGTCCTGTGCCTGATGTAATAACCTACAACTTAATGATCGAAAGTCATATAAAAGAAGGTTTGTTAGAAGAGTCTGATGAGCTTTTTCTATCTATGGAGAAGAATGGCTGTGCTGCCGACTCACGTATGCTAAATGCCATAGTTAGAAGACTACTTGAAAAAGGAGATGTGAGAAGGGCTGGAACCTACCTCACCAAAATTGATGAGAAGAACTTCCCCATTGAAGCTTCCACCGCTGCATTGCTGATTTCTTTTATTTCAGAGAGGAAGTATCAGAAAGAAGTGAAGTTTCTTCCTAAAAAATACCAATCTTTCATGGAACATAGGGATGATTGATACCTTTTCCCGGTTTTACTGTGCTAAATTGCTAACTGAGAGTACATGTTGTCCTGTAAAGGTTATATTTGCAAGGTGCCACCTCTTGCAACCTTTTATAAATTACATTGAATCTAGATTCCAGAGAAGTGCTAACTGTCTTACAACTGAATTTTATTCAACATTGATATTCCAATGGGTTATCGTGTTTATCTAAGGTTCATAATTTTTAAAACTCTTTTATTCAAGATTAAAATTGCATATTCATCCTCAATGGGAATATCAAATTATTTTTTATTCTCCCCTGTTGTGGGCTTCTAACATGGAGGCATTTGCTACTGGAGCTTTGAGGGCTTTGTTGTTACTTCTCTATTGGACATGTTTGTTTTATGGTATTAAGCTTGCCACCAAGTCCACCATTGCTGCATGAATACTTAAAACATTCAGATCTGTTGATTCTAAAGGGAATGTAAGATTGACTGTTTAATACTAAATTGATGTATGACTTGAAAATTGAATTTATGAATTAGTCAACTGCAGGATAATATAACATAACCTTTCAATTGAAGAGTGGTAGAATTACATTTTTGCCTTTTCCGATGTTCTTGGGACTCACGAGTCCACAGGAGAATTTGTGAAGGCCTCCACTTATTCGTCAGCTAATAATTCAGCCATACTCAACCTGTACAAAGAGAGCGAACGGGCTGATGCTATTCACGTTGCTCAAAGCTCTGCAGAAAGTGTCCAGAGTTCATCTGATCTGTTTTCTATTAATGAAATGGTGAGCATTCCTTGTATCTAAGTTTTTTTTTGTATATTCTTATGTTCGTGCGCATCAACTCGAGAACCGGTAATCATTGTTATTAATCCATTTTCCATCAACCTCCAGGAAATATACGACAAACTAAAAGATTCTTCGCAGCCCAAAGGCCTTTTCACAAAGGAACAGCCTTGGAAGGATGTATATATCACAGAACTCCTTAATTGTATCAAAGAGGAACATATGAAGGATTTTGAACAAGAATATTGTTTAGCAGAAAAGATAGAATGGGTATGTATCATACTGTCATCGTCTATGCTTTGTAAGTTTCTGATCATTATCAGTATGTTGTATAGGAACTCTCCCTACTGTTGGCAATCCAAAAATCACATACGAAGTTTTCCTTGGAAATTTCTGAGTCTTGAATGGACTTCTTCCTTAATTTATAGTTCCAACTAAAGATCAATACACTCTTTTTTTTTTTTGCTGAACCACTTTTTCCCCCTCTGTTCAGTTTGGCATCATTATTTTATTTTAATATTATCATAATTAATCCCTTCTGGTAAACTGACTCTAAAAAGTTTTCTTGAATGATTTCCTATCATTTACAATCTAATCTGCATTATGTGCAGCCAATCTTGCAATATACCTTCTGTTTCTTGCTCACATGATTGATGTGATTTTGAATAAGAAAATAAATAATGTATTGACCTGTCTGATACCTAATTTCAGGCAACGGAGGACACGGATATTGCAGTTGGTGATTATGTCAGTGCATGGTACAGTATGCTTTGGTCCTGTGCCCAAGAACTGAAGCATGGTGCGTCACTTTGACAAGAATTTTATCATGCAAATGTCTGCAACAGAGTAATCTCTGAAGGTACAAATATTTTGCACGGCCAGAAAAGCTTTATCATTCATTTGGGATCATTTATCTTCACAGATAGAAGTCAACTATAAATTTCCATCTATGTTGGTTTTACAGGTCGTCACTACTTTATTGCTCTTGGGGAGATATATAGAGTTGCACAGATTTTACATTTATCCTTGCAGTGTTTCAAGCCCTGGGTTCTTGCATATCCTGGAATGGTGAGTAAAATGTTGTCTTGTTTGGACAGCTGCACTAATGTCGATTTTTTACTGTCACCACAATGCATCTATCCATGTTTGTAGATAAACAAATATTTGTCGGTTCAGAAGAGAGAAGATATAGTGCGTGGACCTTGGAACCCTACTGAAGATTAAAAGATGTCTTGGCTGCAAAAGAGAGCCATAGAAGAATCACTAGTGAATCTTAGTGATTTTACCACAGTAGTTTTTTAAAATATCATTTCAGATTTTTTTTGTAGTTTTACTTGGCTTTAGAATTTGTTTATCTATATAAATCAGATGTTCTCCCCAATTTTGCTGGATGTGTACGTTATCCTTTGTTTATTAAAGTAACTAATTTTTGTTGTACTGGTGCTTGTTTTTGGTTGACCAATGTAAACATTTAATTTTCCTCCCAAGAGAAATGTTCTGCAATATATTAAGGGGGTGTTTGGTTCACGGACTAAATTTTAGTCTCTGTCTTATCGGATGTTTAACACATGTATGGAGTATTAAATATAGACTAAAAAAATAATTAATTACACCGATTGCGACTAATTTGCAAGACGAATTTTTTTAAGCCTAATTAGTCCATGATTTGAGAACGTGATGCTACAGTAAATATGTGCTAATGATGGATTAGTTAGTCTTAATAAATTTGTCTCATAAATTAGTCTCCATCTGTGTAATTAGTTTTATAATTAACTCATGTTTAGTCCTCCTAATTAGCATCCGAACGTCCAACGTGACATGAACTAAAATTTAGTCCGTGGAACAAACACCCCCTAAATTCATTAATGATAGGGTCATATTCTGGATAGCAATAGATACGGAGCATTTTTTTAATGAATATAAATCTGTAGCTAGGTCGCAACGCTTTTACTCGCATGGAGCTAAAAGATGGTTCAATGCCAATGACAAAATCAACAGATAGAAACTGGAACATTTTAAACTGGAATATTCGTGGTCTCAATTCTGAAGATAAATGCAATACGATCAAGGAGAAAATAGAGGAGAGTTCTTGTGCAGTGTTATGTATTCAGAGTTCTTGCATATTCTTCTTCCAGCAATCTTCCTCGCAGGTCAAACATAGTTGGAGGTTCAATTCCAGGCCCAAATTGTCCAATTGCTTTACACATTTGCTTGAACTCATCATTATCATATGTATTGAATGGTATTGCTGTCAATGTTAAAAAAAAAGGAAATTAGTGTTCAGTTCAGTACTACGGCAAGGCATCCAATAAAATTAAAATCTGAAATAAAAAAACAGCAAGGAAATTACCATGGTTATAAGCTCATCTTGCAATATATTTATGCACCTCATGTAATCTTTTTTTTCAAAGTTCCTTGTTCAGCTTCTGTTGAGTGAAAGATTCAGATTTGGTTGCTTTAGGATCAATAGCACGCGCCCATTTGTCAATGGGTCATAATCTGTGAGGCTCTGAACTTCCAATACAAGTGACTTCCTCTGACTCTCCACCTCCAACTCGAGAAACATTCACTTCCTCTCTAAGTTCTAGTTCACGAACAGTCTTCTCCCCTCTCTTCCTTTTTGCAACATTTAGTGCTTTCTTGCACTTCTCTTTAGCCTCCAGAGCCTCCGGTGTTCTGGCCTTGCATTTCGTCGCATTCTTTCCTTCATGGGCCACATGTTGCTTCAACCGATAAATCCCTCCTTGCATCACCTTGTCACATAGTTTGCACTTCACCTTGTCCTTGTTGATAGCATCAACAAGAACTCCATATTCCCATCCCACATCATCCGAATTCCTTCTCAGGAGATTCGCTCCCTCAGTTTCAGGTGCAACCCCTGTTGTCGACATCCTATACATATACATACATTCAGATTTAAGTGACAATACATTCAGAGTTAAGTGAACATTCAGGCAATACATACATGTAGCAAATCAGCTAAAAAAATCAGTCACACATCCTACAAATGATTCAGTCAAACAAAGATACATACATGCAGTCAAACAATGTTTTTTTTTAAAAAGTGCTAGCTTGAACCAAGAGAAAATTCATGGTAACTGCTTGGTTAATTTGTTTATCAAATAAGAATCATCACTTCAGAGCACTCCTACCAAGTTCAGACTGCGGCATGTTGTCATTGCAGCATTCACTTGCTTAGTAGTGCGGATCTGATCAATACTCCTACCAAGCAGTTAGGGAACAGAGGAGAGGAACATTCAGGCAATACATACATGTAGCAAATCAGCTAAAAAAATCAGTCACACATCCTACAAATGATTCAGTCAAACAAAGATACATACATGCAGTCAAACAATGTTTTTTTTTAAAAAAAAGTGCTAGCTTGAACCAAGAGAAAATTCATGGTAACTGCTTGGTCAATTTGTTTATCAAATAAGAATCATCACTTCAGAGCACTCCTACCAAGAGGAGCAGGAGAACATAGCAGAGGAGCAGGGAACAGACGAGAAGAGCAGGAGAGGAGCAGGGAACAGAGGAGAGGAGCAGGAGAGGACCTTGGGCCTTGGGGCTTCAGCTTAGGGAGGACGAGACCGGCAGGGCGGAGCGCCTGGCGAGATGAAGAGACCGGCGGGGAGGAGCTTCCAGGCGGGGCGGAGCGCGACCGACGGGACCACGAGCTCGGCGCGGAAGAGCGCGGCCTGCGGGACCACGAGCTCGGCGGGGAGGAGCGCGACCGACGGTACCACGAGCTCGGCGGGGAGGAGCGCGGCTTGCGGGACCACCTACCCAGTGAGGAGGAGCGCAGCCGGCGGGAGCAGCTTCCTGGCGGGGTCGCAAGGAGGTGAGCGGCCGTCGGAGAGCTTCCCAGAAGCAAGCAGGCGCGTCCTTTTCCCCCTTCTCCCTCTTATCCTTCCCGTACCCGAGCCTTCTTTTCCCGCGCCCGAAGCCAGGCTACGCGTCTTGGCGTCGCATCACAAGCGTCAATTTTTTTCAGCTCGGCTCGCGCGCATGACCGCCTCCTCCGCCGCCTAGACCGCTTCCAGCATGCTGCGCGCCGAGGCGCTCCGCCCGCCTAGGGGTCCGCCTACCCCCGTAGGCCAGGCGGAACCCCTCGCCTTGCGATTAGTCGCACCTAGGCGGGGATGAGGTGTCGCCTTTTCGAACATTGACCACAATGCATCTATCCATGTTTGTAGATAAACAAATATTTGTCGGTTCAGAAGAGAGAAGATATAGTGCA